GCGTGCGCGTGCGCGTGCGCGTGCGCGTGCGCGTGCGCGTGCGCGTGCGCGTGAGCGTGCGCGTGCGCGTGCGCGTGCGCGTGCGCGTGCGCGTGCGCGTGCGCGTGCGCGTGCGCGTGCGCGTGCGCGTGCGCGTGCGCGTGCGCGTGTGCGTGTGTGTGTGTGTGTGTGTGTGAGAATGTGCGTGCGTGTGAGTGCGTGCGTGTGTGTGGGTGTGGGTGTGGGTGTGGGTGTGGGTGTGGGTGTGGGTGTGGGTGTGGGTGGTGGTGGTGGTGGTGGTGGTGGTGGTGGTGGTGGTGGTGTGGGTGTGGGTGTGGGTGTAGGTGTGGGCGTGGGCGTGGGCGTGGGCGTGGGCGTGGGGCTGGGGCGTTGGTTAAACCGTGGCGTGGGCGTGGGCGTGGGCGTGGGCGAAGGGCGTGGGCGTGGGCTGAGGCGTGGGCTGTGGGCGTCGGGCTGTGGGCGTGGGCGTGGGAGTGGGCGTGGGCGTCGGAGTGGGGTTGTTTTTTATGTTTTATGTGGGCGCGGGCGCGTGCTGGGCCGGTGTGCGTTGTGCGTGTTTCGTTAAGTGCGTTTGCGCGTGCGCTGTGCGGTGTTGCGTGACTGCGTGTGCGTGTGTGCGTGTGTGCGTGTGTGCGTGTGTGCGTGTGTGCGTGTGTGCGTGTGTGCGTGTGTGCGTGTGTGCGTGTGTGCGTGTGTGCGTGTGTGCGTGTGTGCGTGTGTGCGTGTGCTTGTGCGTGTGTGCGTGTGTGCGTGTGTGCGTGTGTGCGTGTGTGCGTGTGTGCGTGTGTGCGTGTGTGCGTGTGTGCGTGTGTGCGTGTGTGCGTGTGTGCGTGTGTGCGTGTGTGCGTGTGTGCGTGTGTGTGTGTGTGCGTGTGTGTGCGTGTGTGCGTGTGCGTGCATGCGCGCGCGCGCGCGTGCGTGCGCGCGTTTTTGCGCGGGCGGCGCGGGCGCCAGCCCAAGGCGCCGCCGAAGCCTAGGAGCCCCCGCAGGGAGGAGGAAGGGGTCGACCAGGGAAAACCAAGAACACGAAACGCCAAAAAAAGGCGGCGAGGCCCGAGCCAGGGGCGGCCCAGGGACCCCGAGGCGAGGCGGAAGAGAGAGGAAGAGACGGGCCCCCCAGCCGCACTCACCTGCTCGGAGACGAGGTCCTCGCGCCCAAGGCCTCGCCGCCCTCCGCCGCCGCCCGCGCCCCGCGGCCGAGCGGGCGCCCCAGCCGCGAGGCGGGCGGGGGCGAGGCGCCCCCGCGGCGCGCCTCGGCGGGCGCGGTCACGGGTCGCCACGGGGAAGCCCGACCGCCGCGCCCCTGCGCCAGGCGCAGCACCGATGACATCAGCGCTGACCCAACCACTCCTGAAGGGTCCTGCGGAGCCCGCCTGGCGGAGCGGTGCCCTGCAGCTCCTCGGCGCCCAGGGCCAAGGGCGCCCTCGTCACCTTGGCGGCCGCCTCGGAGGTCGCGATGGCCATCGTGAGCCGCGCGCTCAGCTTGTCGCACATCTCCTTGATCTTGAAGTGCTTGAACTGCTCGAGGAGGTCGGTCTTCTCGCTGATCAGCTCATGGAGCTCCTGTAGCTCGGCCTCCGACGGCGCCCCCACGATGGCCTCCATCGTCATCGTGGAGCGGATGGCGGCCTCCACCGGGAAGGGGAGAGGCGTCCCCGCCCCGTGAACCGCAGGCGCCCTGCTACGGCACCTGTCGCTGCAGCTCTTCCCCGCGCCCTTGGTCGCCATGACGAACTCCGCGCGGGGGCGACGCGGCCTCCAGCTCTCGAACCTGCAGATCGTGGGACAGCACCAGCCTCGCCATCGACGACATCGCCTCCTCGAGGTCGTCGCGGCGCGCCGACGCGCGGCGCTGCGGCTGGGCCTTGGCCCGAGGCGCGGGCAGCGGCGCCGCCGCCGCCGCCGCGCCCTCGCGCCGAGCAGGCGCCGGCCGCTGGCGGACCCGACGGCCGCCTGGGCCGCCCCAGTCCTCCTCGGCCTCGCCCACCGCCAAGGCCGCGATGGCCTGCTGCTGCGGGGGCGCCGCCAGGAGAGCCCAGCGCGGAGCCGCCGCCCCCTCGGGTCGGAGCAGGAGGGCGCGGCGGCAGCAGCACCGGTCGCCTGCCAGTGAAATGCCCCGACAGGAAATGGCCGCGGCGAAGGTCCAAGGCGTCGGATTTCCAATCGCATACAGGGCATGTGACCGCATCAGGGACCAACAGCGATGGAGCAGCATGGACCAGATTAGCACGGCAGTGACCACGAGCGAGAGCGAATCAAACATGTTGCACTGCCTTCGCCCTCGACGCAAACACGCTGCGACAGAAACCGCACTGATTGGATAGACACAGTGACGACTCAACAGCACGGTACTTGTGAGCGCTGATTTTGCGCCACAGCACAAACGCCCCCCTCGCAGGGCCCCTGGCGCACGAAGTCGGAGTCCCCGATGTCGATGAAGGCAGGGGGCCCCCGATCAGGCCGAAGGGAATCACCGCGCAGCGTCCACCATCGACGCCGCGCAGCCGCCCCCGCCACGGACACGGGGGGATGCTGCGCCGCCCAGACACGCACCCGCAGCGCCCGAGGGTCCAGCTGGAGGATCTCGTAGCGCAGCTCGGAGTCCCGCAGGAGAAGCAGAGGCCGCCGCCCCCGAGCACTCCGCAGATCCTCGCGCTCCGCAGCCACCAAGAGCCGATCCAAGTCGCCCACGAGGCGAACGTCCAGGGCCGACGCGCCAGGGCCCAGGCGGCCATCCGACGTCAGCACGTCCTGCATCACGAAGGGCAGCTGGCCGAACAAGGCCGCGAGCTCCATCTCATGGCCCTTCGGGCGGGCGAACATGCCGCGAAGGAAGCCGAGCCTGAACGCCCGCAGCTCCGTCGCCACGTCCGCCATCTGCAGGAGCTGGCGCACCACCTGGGCGGGCTGCGCCTCGCGCTGGTAGACGTCATCCACCATGCCCCCACGCGAGGCCCTCGCGCCCAGGGCCGAACGGCCAAGGCGCACGGCCGCGCCCCCCAGCGCCGCCAGAAAGGACTGCGCGGGCACAACGGACGCCGTGCCCGAGAGGAGCGCGCCCAAGACCTTGGAGCGGAAGACCTGGCGCACCAGCTCGACCGAGACCTCCGACTTCCAGAGGCGCCTCGTGTCCGCGAAACCCTCATTGGCGGCCGCGATCCTCGCCTTGCCCTCGGGAGCCAAACGCCCCTGGCAGTGCAGCACGGGGCCGAGGTGCCGAGCCGCCGCGGCACGATTGCCACGAACTCCCAGCTTGCCAGCAAAGAAGGCCCGCTTATTGGACCTGGCCCCCTCGCCACGGAAGGCGCAGGTCACGTGCTGCTAAGAGATGTTCTGACGACAACCTCGAGGTTCGAGGAGGCGGTCAAGCCGCAGGTCCGAGGCGATGTGGTTCTTGATCAGCGCATCGTGGCACCAGGAGACGAAGCACTTGCAGAGGTCGTCCGCAAACTTCGTGAGGCTCAGGTCCAGGACCACATCCGTCACCACAGACTTGACCTCCAGCAGCTGCGCGTCGGGGCGCCCCAGGCCGTGGACGCGGGGGAGAAGACCTCGAGAAAGAAGGGGGGGGCCGATCGGGTCGCCAACGAGCACCCCCTGGCGAGCCCGCATGCGCAAGATGCCCTCGGCCGCCTCCGCCTCGCAGCGGTAGTTGCGGGCCCTCTGCGCCGCGACAGGAAGGTCCACCCCGCGCGCCGTGCCGTGGAGGCCCGACGCCATGTCCTCGATCGAGAGGCACTGGAAGGCCTTGCTCAGGCCCTAGTAGCTCGTCAGGACCGAAAGCCCACAGTGCGCGGCCCTCTCCGCCACCGCGCCGGGAACCGCCAAAGCCCCGTCCCTCGAGCGCCTCGGGGCAAAGCCGAAATCTTTCGGAGACGCGTCAGGCCGCCCAGCACGCGCCACCGGCATGGGCGCGTGAGCCTTGCCGACGGGGCACATGACATGAATGGTCCTGCCGATGTCCGCCGCCCTGGGCCGCGACCAAGCCAAAGGGGCCGCCTCGAAGAGCCGCGCCAGGGCGAGGCCATGCAGCTAGCGTGTCCTGAGCGCCTTCATAGTGGGCGCCTTCGCACAGAAGCCCATGCCCTCGCCCCCGCTCGCCTCGACGATAGGCGCCAAGGCCATCCGCCACGCCGGCGCAGGAGCGGACCACGGTGGCGCCGCCCTCCGAGGCTGCGTCTTCTTCCTGGCCCTGACCTCGAGCTCCTCCAGGTCCGTCTCCGCCGCGCGCCGGGCGCCCAGCGCCGAACGGCGCCGCGTCACCGCGGGGCGGAGCTGCGCGAAGTACGGCGTCGCGTCGAGCTCCGTCGCCGAGTGCCCGCCCTCGCACCCCCCCCGCATGAGCAGCTGCCTCCTCGACGCCGCCGTGTGCTCCAGACGCGGCGTAGAGTGCGCCCGCCTCCTCGCGCCCGTCGCGCGCTCGCCCAGCAGGTGGGCGAGCCGCCGCGCGGCTGCCGCGTCGCCGCGCCGCTCGGCCTCAGCCAGGGCCTCGCAGCGCACCGCCCGCAGCCGCCGCCGCTGCGAGCGCTGCAGGGCGTGCAGCTCCCGCGTGGCCTCCCGCCGCTCCCTCTCGCGCTGCTCGATCTCCGCCTCCGTCGAGCCGAACAGCTCCCTCTCGGCGACGTGCCGACGGCGGACAGCGGCGCGCTCAAGCAGGAGGCAACGCCGCTGCGCCGTTGCCCCCTCCATTTGCTTCACGCCCCGCGCCTGGAAGCCAAAGTGCCCAAGCCCCGCAGTGCGCGCCGCCGCCGCCATCTCCTCCCGGGCCGCGCCAGGGCCGCCCTCCTCGCCCAGGGGGGGGCGCTGCGTGCACTCGCGCACGGCCCCGAGGTCGGTGAGGAAACCCAGCTTGCCCTTCTGCTCCCGCAGGGCCTGCGCGCAAGCGTCGAGGTGCCACCGCTCGCGCTCCGCCCGTGGAAGAAGTTCAGGGTGGACGGGCTGCGCAAAGACCGCGGCGCCCAGCGGTATGTGGTCGCGGCTTCCACGCGCTCGGATAGCCTGCAAGCGATTCCCCACGGCGTAGAGCGGGCGGCACCCGTCGACGCACTCGAGGAGCGCGCGGGGCACAGCCACCACGCCAGGGCGGGGCCTGGCCCCAGCGGGGCCCGAGAACGCGTAGCCATCGTAGAACGTGTTGGCCGAGGCCAGGCCCCAGTCCTCGCACAGCCGCCTCCAGGCCGCCCCGCTCTCGTGCTCCAGCGCTGGCTCGACCTGGCCGATGACCTCCGACCACGGGAAAAAAAACCGCCTCATACCTCACCATTCCTTAGCTGTCGTTGAAATCGGCGCACGGCAACGGCGCGCACCGCGTCGGGCACTCCATGAGGCAGCGCTGCGCCCAGGTGAAGAGCGCCTCCGCCGCCTGCCGATGCGCCACCGCCCCCCGAACAGGGACATAGAAAGCCAGCGCCAAGATGTTCAGCGCGCCCCGCATAAGGCGGGCGCCCCCGCCACGACCCCGCAACGCGGGGGGGGGCGTCAACAACCCCAGCACCTTTAAACCCTTCTTGAAGAAGATGGAGACCCCGCGCGTGTTGTCGGTGCACCCACCGCGGCCCCATCCCCAATGCAGAGCGTCATGCAACGGCAGCGCCCGCCTCGAAGCGCCAGGGCCTCCACGCCAGCGGAGCTGCGCGCCCTGCAGCGCCACCGCGTCGTGCGCGCCAAGGGCGGTGCCGATCTCCTCCGCCCGCAGCTTCCTGCACATGGACAGTGGATTGTAGGAGACCAGTCGCGTCCTTCGGACCACCGCAAGTCTTGCAACGCAGCCCCCCAGCGCCGCAGCACGCGCGGCCCTCCGCAGAAGGCGCCCGCCTCAGCGCACCAGGGGCCCCGAGCAGGCGCCTGGGGGCGACGGCATCGCGTGGCCCGACCTGCGAAGAACCGCAGGCGCGTGGTGCCGCGGCCCACTACGCGTTGAGCAGATGGCGACGCTGCGTGCGTGCGTGCGTGCGTGCGCGTGCTTGTTTGTGTATGTGTATGTGTATGTGTATGTGTATGTGTATGTGTATGTATATGTGTATGTGTATGTGTATGTGTGTGTGTGTGTGTGCGTTCACATGTGCGCCGCGATCGCGGCAGCGACCTTCGGGGGCGTCGGAGAAGGAGGGCGTTTCACGGGCGCTCGCCTTGGGAACATTCGGCGGCGCGTTTAAACCGGGGGGCGGCCCCCGCCGAACATTCGGCGCCGTCAATCAGAAGCAGGAGGGCTCCGCTCCGCACCCCCCCTTCCTCCCCGAAGCCCCCCCCGCCCCCCCACCGCTGGCGCCGGCGCCGACGCCTGCGGCGGCTGGCAGCGCCGACGGCGGCGACGATGACCTGGACGAAGACGCAAACGACAACAAGGCCCCATGTAGTCCTATGTCCTCGGCCTTGGGTGTCGGAGTATTCACGGGCCCGGACCTCCAATATATATATATATATATATTATATATATATATGTATATATATATATGTATTATATATATATATATATATTTCTATATTGGAGAGGCCTGACGGCCGGTGCCGCCGACCCTGATCGAAAGGGCTAGGAGTGGGGGGAGGAAGCGGAGGATGAGGAGGAGGAGGAGGAGGAGGAGAAGGAGGAGGAGCAGGAGGAGGAGGGAGGAGGAGGAGGAGGAAGAGGAGGAGGAGGAGGAGGAGGAGGAGTGCATCCTTTGTGTGCCCGCTCGAAGAAAGTGCGCCCCGGGAGTGTGATATTCTGACTTGGGACGTGCTCCCGGAAGAGGAAGAAGTGCATCTCGGGCGTGCCCGCTCGAGGAAAATGCGCCCTAGGGGGGTGGTATTTTGACTCGGGGCCCGCTCCCGGGACGCCTCTGCGAGGAGGAGGAGGAGGAGGAGGGAGGAGGAGGAGAGGAGAGGAGGAGGAGGAGGAAAAGGAGGAGGAGGAGGACCAGGAGGAGGAGGAAGTGCATCCCGTGCGTGCCCGCTCGAGGAAAGTGCGCCCCGGCGGGCGTCGTATCTGCCCCGTCCCCCCCCCCCTGCGGGGAAGGGATCAAAGGGAAGGGGCTTCCCTTCGACTCCACTACGACGTCGTTTAATTTCGCTTTGGATAGCGCGCTTGAGGAGGAGAGCCCTGGGAGGAGGAGAACGGAGACGACGGAGACGACGAGTCGAACGGAGAAGCCCCTCACACACGCCGACAGGGTCGGCGGATTTATATAATTCCGGGGGTGCGGAACCCGCCCCCCCGAAACGGGACCCCCCGGATCCGTGCCACGGGGGCGGCCGAAAATCATTTCCAGGGCGTGCACGCAGGCGGGCGGCAGTGCCAAATCGGTCGGCGCAAGCCCACAGAGACACCCAAGACAGTCCAGGATAGCACCCGGGTAGCCTTGAAGACCCTCCGCGAGAGCCCCAAGACCGTTCTCAAAGGAGGCTTGAGAGAACAAAATCATTGAATTCACATTGGTTTCTCAATGTTTTTCGCGTCCTCGCTTTTTCGGGTTTCCCACGTTCAAAGACCGCCCAAGAAGCTCCCCAAACCGCCCCAAGACGGCCCAAGAAGCTCCCAGAGCACGCTGAGAGCGCCCCAAGACGGTCCAAGACGCGCCCGAGATGGCCCACGAACGCTCCAAGACGGCCCCAAAAGGGGCCCCAGGGGGGACCACGAACTGAAAATACGAGCCTCCCGCCCCGAGAAGGCCCAAGGAGGCCCCAAGAGAGCTCCACAGGGCCTCGGGAAGCCCCCCAAATGGCTCTGGTGAGGCTCCAAAAACATTCAAAATTGTTATTTTCCAATTGGTTTTTCAATGTTTTCAGCGTCCTCGCTTTTTCGGGTGTCCGACGCTCCAAGACCGCCCAAGAAGCCCCCCAAACCGCCCCACAACGGCCCAAGAGGCTCCCAGAGCGCTCTGAGAAAGCCCCAAGACGGCCCAAGACGCGTCCGAGATGGCCCACGAACGTTCCAAGACGGCCCAGAGAGGAGCCCTAGGGGGGACCACGATCTGAAAATACGAGCCTCCCGCCCCGAAAGAGCCCAAGGAAGCCCCAAGAGAGCTCCAAAGGGCCTCGGGAGGCCCCCTAAGACGTTTCGGTGAGGCTCCAAAAACATTCAAAAGTGTTATTTTCCCATTAGTTTTTCAATGTGTTTAACGCCCTCGCTTTTTCTGGTTTCCCACGTTCCAAAACCGCCCAAAAAGCCCCCAAAACCGCTCCACAACGGCCCAAGGGGCTCCCAAAGCGTCCTGAAAAGCCCCAAGACGGTCCAAGACGCGTCCCAAGACGGTCCAAGACGGCCCACGAACGCTCCGAGACGGCCCAAAGAAGGGCCCCAGGGAGGACCAGATAACTGAAAATACGAGCCTCCCGCCCCGAAAGGGCCCAAGGAGGCCCCAAGAGAGCTCCAAAGAGCTTCGGGGGGCTCCCTGGGAAGCTCCGGCGAAGCTCCAAAAAGCTTCCAAATCGTTAATGCTCCATTGGATTAAGCGGAGGAGGAGAAGGAGGATGAGGAGGAGGAGGATGAGGAGGAGAAGAAGGCAGAGAAAGAAGGAGAACGAGGAGGAGGAAGAGGACGAGGAGGAGGAGGCGGAGGAGGTGGAGGAGGGCAAGGAGGAGGAGGAGGAGGAGGAGGAGGAGGAGGAGGAAGAGGCCAAAATCCCGGGTTCGCAACCATTTTTCTGGAAATTCCGTTGTCAACCCAGGATTCCAGCAGATTTCCAGTCACTCCGCTGAATCCCACCAGCCCTTTGGGCGTGAGTGGTTTAGAGAGCCCGCTCTGTTCTCAACCCCCTTCTTCCCTTTCGGGGAGGGGTTTACCCCTCCCCCTACCCCCTCCTCCTGGGCCTGGAGAGGGCGTTCCGCGGGTGGTTGGAGGGGTCTTTTTCGACTCCTGGGAGGGCTAAAATTCGACACCCCTCACGAGGATTCTGGCCCCGACGGGGGGAGGGAGAAAAATGCTCGCCCCATCTGTGATCGATCGCCCGACAGATGGCCCCAAGAGTCCTCCCAGACCCCTCCCAAAGAGCCCCAAGAGGCCCCAAGAGGCCTCCAAGAGGCCCCCAAGATGCCCCCAAGAGGCCCCCAAGAGGCCCCAAGAGGCTCCCCCGAGGCACCCAAGACGCTCCTGGAAGCCCCTGGAGCCGCCAAGAGGCCCCCAAGACGCCCCAAACGGCCTCCAAGAGGCTCCCAAGAGGCCCGAAGAGGCTCCCCCAAGGCACCCAGGACGCTCCTACAAGCCCCTGGGGCCGCCAAGAGGCCCCCAAGACGCCCCAAAAGGCCTCCAACAGGCTCTCAAAAGACTACTACTACTACTACTACTACTACTACTACTACTACTACTACTACTACTACTACTACTACTACTACTACTACTACTACTACTACTACTACTACTACTACTACTACTACTACTACTACTACTACTACTACTACTACTACTACTACTACTACTACTACTACTACTACTACTACTACTACTACTACTACTACTACTACTACTACTACTACTACTACTACTACTACTACTACTACTACTACTACTACTACTACTACTACTACTACTACTACTACTACTACTACTACTACTACTACTACTACTACTACTACTACTACTACTACTACTACTACTACTACTACTACTACTACTACTACTACTACTACTACTACTACTACTACTACTACTACTACTACTACTACTACTACTACTACTACTACTACTACTACTACTACTACTACTACTACTACTACTACTACTACTCCTACTACGAGGGGCCCGAACGACTCACACCACGAGGGAGCCCGAACGACTCACACCAGGACGAGGGGCCCGAACGACTCACACCACGAAGAGCCCGAACGACTCACACCAGAAGGAGGGGCCCGAACGACTCACACCAGGACGAGGCGCCCGAACGACTCACACCACGAGGAACCCGAACGACTCACACCACGACGAGGGCCCCGAACGACTCACACCACGAGGAGCCCGAACGAGTCACACCAGGAGGAGGGGCCCGAACGACTCACACCAGGACGAAGAGCCCGAACGACGCACACCACGAAGAGCCCGAACGACTCACACCAGGAAGAAGGGCCCGAACGGCTCACACCAGGACGAGAAACCCCAAACGACTCAAACCACGAGGAGCGCTTTCTCTCCCTCCTCCTCCGCCTCGTCCTTCTCCCGCTCCAACCACAAGGAGGATGTACCAAGGAGGCGGGAGGAAGGAGGAACAGGGGAGATATGCGGGGGCAGGCGGAAACACGCCTGAAAAACACGACTGTCGGCATGTTTCGCAAGAGTTGCTGTTTTGAGATGGGCTGGTGGGGATACGCGAAGCGTAAAGAATTTGCGTTATTTAGTGCATCCGTAGCCTCGGGCTCAGTGCGGGCGACAGTTGCAACATGCCTCGGACCGCGGCTAAAATGGAAAAAAGGATGGCACCACGGGCCAACCATTCCAAAGCTTCAAGGAACAAGGTGCATGGCGCGAAACGCCAATGCAGCCTTGTATGTGTTTATATATATTTACATATATATATATATGATATTATATATATATATATATATATATATATATGTATATATATATATATATATATATATATATATATATATATCGGAAGTGAGGGGGTGAGATCGAAGTGGAACGGAGAGCCCCCCTACCGGGAAATCGGTTTCGGTTTCGTGTTCGTGCGTGCCGTGCGTGCGGGCGAAGCGAAGCTGCGTGGGCGGGCGAGAAGAAAGTCTCCTCCGG